TTCCGTGCGACCGCTACATCAGGCGCCGGAACCGGAAGCCGCCGTCACAGTTTTTTTACACAGACTTGAGGGGCTGCTCATCCAAGGCCCTGGGGCCTCCACCACGAACATAGAAAACAAAAAGGAACAGAGCGCCACCTCCGTGTGTAAAATTGTTTATTACAATAAATAAAACAAGGGATAAAAGTACTCACAAACAAACGTTTTCATCAGGCCTTAACAACAAACGAGAGGCCACACTGTTAACAGACAGTGTGGCCTCTCGTTTGTTGTTAAAGCCTGATGAAAACCTTTGTTTGTAAGTACTTTTATCCCTTGTTTTATTTATTGTAATAAATGATTTTACACACGCAGGTGGCGCTCTGTTCCCTTTAGTTGCAAAAAGTAGTAGGGGGGATGAGGCCATCCCATATTGGAGGCATTAGACCAGGGGCACCCACAATTATTCATCTGGAGATCTACTTTTCAAATGATGAGCTCAATGAGATCTACCAACGAAAAAACACCTTCATTCAGGGGTGGGCGGAGGCGTGGCCGTGCATTGAGGTCAATGGCACCGCAGCCATGCCCCCCGCTCACAGTGCTATAGCCCACACCCGGAAAGCAGGCACATAAGTGCCTGCGTTCCAGTCCAGTGTGATCCGTAAAAATGCTGCAAGCACTATTTTTGCAGATCGCACTGGACCGGAATGCAGGCACTAATGTGGGTGTGGGTGCGGGCGATCGCACTGTGGGCGGGGGGCATGGCTGAGGTGCAATTGACTTCAATACAACCCCACACCCCCTCCCGCCCCTGAACGCAGGGAGTCGGCCGGCATATATTCCAGTGCATCCTGGAGGCCCCGGTGTCCTGTCCTCCTGCGTTGCTTGTGTGGCCGATGTTGTACATGGGGAGAGGTGTCCCGCCCCTTTCCATCTGCAGTGTCTGACACAATCAGCCGGCAGCCGCACGAGCACCGCGGGAGCATAGCTGTAGCCAGCTCCTTTTGCGCCCGTGGCAAGAAAGAAAAACATGTGCCCCGCCCCAACAGGCGTGTGATGTCACCCTGTGCCCTGCCTCCAGGATTTATTTTTATTTTTTACTATTTTTTATTTTATTTTTATTGTTTAATTTTATTTTTATTTTATTTGTTACTCCTGGGGGGCTTCGGGGAAATATTAGGGGTCTAAACATTCCACTGATATTTCCCTTTTAAAATAGAAAAAGAAATTGAGGACACAAAGCCCTCAATCTCTTATTCTGCAGCCACTGTTCTAAATGAATGGAAAGCACAGAGGCTTCCCATTCATTCAGAAAATATTTTACTATCATCCAGTTTCTGAATTGGGAGGAGCCTCTGTAGTGAGTGCTTCTCCCCATTGAGAAACTCATGAATGAACAGGAAGTGATGTAAATCACATCCTGTTCATTCATAACTGGGGACACATAGTACTATGTGTCCCCAGTTATTTACAAACACTGATCACTCCAGTTTTTGTCCTGCACAGAGGATCGGAACATTTCACTGATATGTACCGATCCTCTGCCGCTCGGTCACGCACATGGGGGCTCAGCTTCTCCTCTGGATCCGTGCTGCTCTCCCGGGCAGAGGCAGCGGCGGATCCGAGGAGAAGTGAAAGAAGCGCTGCAGCCGCGGAGGGCGGAGCTGCTGTCACAAAATTTACCACTGATCGATACGCAATCGACTGGTAGATCGCGATCGACCTTGTGGTCACCCCTGCATTAGACTGTCTGCTGCAACATTTATTTTCTTCAGATCAGAGGAAATATGGTTCCTCTCTAATAAAATCAATATATTAGTGACAGAGAATGAAAATGATCCCTTTGATAGTATGTATTACCCAGATAGCAAGCAATTGAGCTGCAAGTTTGAAAATGACTTGTTAAACTATTGCAGACTTGCCAAGCTTCACAATTTTGTTGCACAATTAGAGCAAGTCTGCATTGCAAGTCTCCAGATCAACGTGCTTTGCAAAAGTGATGTATACTTGCAGAGCTCTTGCTAAGCCCTGCAGGACTCTTGCTGTTGACTTACCAGGCAAATTTGCTACAAATTCAAAAAGTGTCAACTAGAACTTGTGCTGCAAGTGTTCTGCAAGTCTACAACTTGCCAGGAATGTGTGCAGCAAGTTAACAAGAATTACAATTGAACCCTTCCACAAGTTTGTGGCAAGTTATCCTCGCTATGTGTGAGGTTCATGCAGATACAAGTTGTTATTTCTTTTTTTTATAAATTCTTTATTGCCGCACAGGTAGCATGTACAGGTCATATACACATACAGATAAAATCAGCTCCAACAGGTTCAATGGAAACATAAGAAAACAATCGTGTAGGTATCTGAGCCCGTCCATATCGGAGCCACACTGTGGAGCCATATAGCTAAAGAACAAACAGAGACAGAATCTCCTCAAGGATTTCGTCCGCTCCGCTGGGCTACCAATGTAGTGAACCGGTCTTCCCCCCTTCCCAATGAGGCTTATAGAGCGGGACACCTCGTACACCACATAATCTAACGATGGTGCAGCTGCATGACCATCGGTAGTAACAACATCTGGATACCTCGGAGGTCAGGGGGGGAGGGGAGACTGACATAATATGGGGGGAAGGAGAGGTGTAGGACACAACACAAGAGGGAAGAGAAGAGGGAGGGAGGAAGGAAGGGGAGGGGATCAGGTGACTTGCTGGGTGCCTAAATCTCAGGCTTCAGGATTCCATTATCATGCGGTATTCCGCAGTGGCCGTAAAGTCTATCCAGTAAAACCAGGTAGCTGTGAACCTGGAGGAGGTGCCCTTTATGGAACTGGTGAGATCTTCCATGAACCGAATATCATTTATCTTGGAGAACCACAGTTTGACCGTGGGCGGGATGACTTGTCTCCATAGAAGGGGTATACATGCCCGGGCCGCGTTCAGTATATGCACTAGGACTGAACGGGAGTAACTTTTCGCTGGGAAATGGTTATGGTGGAGAAGGAAGAATGCTGGATCTTCCGGAATGGCGTGGTCAGTAAATTTTTGTGAAATAAGGCGGACCTGGGTCCAAAACGGTGTCAGTGACGGGCAGGACCAAAAAATGTGAAGCATATGCGCGGGGGAGGAGCCGCAGCGCCAACAAATGTCCGGATTGTCTCGGGACATCTGATGAAGTCTATGAGGGGTCCGGTACCACCTTGTCAGGATTTTGTATCCCAGTTCCTGGTAGCTATTGCAGATGGACGACTTCAGAGAGTGGTGTAACATCCGGGAGCTTTACTCCTGTGAGAACTGGATCCCCAGCTCCCCCTCCCATCGCTCCAGGAACCTGAGCGGGGCCTCCAAGTCTGCAGATAGTACCATCTGGTAACATAGTGACAATGCTTTAGCATTGGGACCCGCTTCGGTGCAAGTTTGTTCATAGGGCGAAAGCGGTTTCGCATAGGAAGTAGGCGGCGGGAGAGAGGATAGAAAGTGTGACAGTTGGTGCAGGCGCCAGGTGTAAGGCGGCTCCAAGGGTCCCCGGCGGGCGCTACCCCCATATTCCACCGGAAGCTAAGGGTCGACCCCCGAGGCACGTCCCTCCATCGCTCCAGTCTCCTCACGGCACAGCATTTGACTGTGATTATCCCATCCCTCGTTAGTCGCCAGGAGAGACCAGATCAGGGGAATAGATTATACCCATCTGTGAGACAATCAATAGACATTCTAAGCAGTGAACTAAATAGCTATGCAGGTAGAAGCGGCCATATGGGTTGTATGGGGGGGCCGGGACTCAAATGGAAGGACTCCCGACCGAGTGGAGCCGCATCCCAACATAGTGCCGGGGCCCCGGCATTCCCCCCGCTGAGGCAGATCTGAACGGGAGAGACATATCCGGCCCCTGTTCGTTTGGCGATAGTGAGTCCATCGTGTGTGGGGGGGTGGATTTAGAGGGCCCATTAGGGACCCCGGGTGGAGCCATAAAAAGGATATAGTCTGGTCGGTGGAAAGCCCAGGGGTCTGGAGCCTGCCAACAGCAGCATAGGTAAGTATGCAAAATGTCACCTGGGTGTCCCTGAGGATCCGCGTGTCTCGGGTGCGTCAGACGGTCAGGAGTCCAAGCGGCTTCGGGGTGTGTAATCGTGGACAGGCTCTCTGGTCTGCGATGTCCCTCTCGTCCGGGGAAATTAGTGGTGGCGCTGGGAAATTCAAGGCTCGATGGGGCCACGCGGTGCCGCGGGGCGTCGGTTGGGTGAGGCAGCAGAAGAATCCCGGCGGGCCCGCCGGATCCGTCTAGGCTTCTGGGTCAAAAAGGGGGTTCCGGTCTGGGAGGATGATGCACTTTCCTTCTTGCGTTTAGATGTCATTTGGGGGGATCAGACAGAGTGGTATAAATCGCTGGTACGGTATAAAAGTGGAGGAAACCACGGAGCTCGTGAAGCACACGTCTTACTCCGCCATGAGCAGGACCCGCCCCCCAAGTTGTTATTTCTTGCTCTTGCAAAACACCTAAGGACAGACTAAAAAATTTCATGGATCCTATTCATGGCAACCATGTTGTGGTTGGACTTGCTGTGAACAGGATGATGCACTGGTATTTGAAGACCTAACCCTGATCTGAAGACCTTACCCTGATCTGAAAATCTAACCCTGATCTGAAGACCTAACCCTGGTTGGTCTGTATAACCTACAGCCACGTCAGTACGCTGGCTAAACCTCTCCCCACAGCAGGTGAGGAAACACCTCCAGAGGTGATTGGCCAACAGTTACATTCCATCCTACATCCATACCTCTACAGTATAAGTAGAGCATCATGGAAAATTAACAGAGTAATTCATATGGAGCCTGTTCTGAACAAGGCGGATTGCTGAAATTTTTGGTGCGCTCCCACCAGCAGGATAAACCGTACTGCCCAAAACAGTAAAGTTTATTTTGGTCTTTCCTTCCTTTTTTTATTCCAAAGCAAATCGCCAACTTTTTCAGGCCTCATTTTCTTTCTTGTATTTTTGTAATTTTTCCTGTTAAACATATTTCTATGCACTGCCCATCCAGGAACCTAAATGTACAAAATTCATTTGGAGTTTCTGCGCAACAAGCTACAAATTAGTACCCGAACAGAGAATTTGTTCTCTCATGGTGCCTGTTTGCTCAGTTGTAAGTTCTGTGGCTGCTGAATACATTCACATTAGTGTCAGTGTGTGGAAACTATCCTATCTGACTGACAGGGATGTGTGTGTGTGTGTGTGTGTGTGTGTGTGTGTGTGTGTGTGTATGGTTGCCTAGCAAACTAATCAGCTGACATACTGCAGGTGGTGGCAAGCTACCCTAAGAGCTTGTTCACACCGTTTCCAGCAAAATGTGCACACCTACACAGTTTACTAGACACAAGGATACACAAGGATACATTGGGTACACATACGTCTTGCTATGATTACACATACACGGTAATAGAGATGAGGGTCAGGTTAAGATTGGGTTTGAGGCGAATCCAGCCTGTTTCCAGTTCATGGACCCAGTAAACGAATGCACGATTTCTCCATCATAGCAACCAACCACCAATATTGCACTTCTTGGCCTAAGGTCAAAAGGCTTAGGCGGACCGAAAAAGGGGGCATTTTGATAAGTCAGCATCCTCAATATAAAAGCTTGGGTTCCCAGCAGCCATTATGACAATGTATTTAGCTATAATAGGGAAAGCACAGGAAACTCTGCTGATAAAGTACATACAGGGAGAGATTAGTGTTGGGTTTGTAGGTACTCATCTTTTGAAGTGAATGTAAACCCTTATTGAATGTCCTTTTTGTAACAAAATACTGTGTATCTTGGGAAATTGGGGTACATAGGAAGAATTTTTACATCTTAATGCTACTGCGTCTTTACAGCCTCTCCAGTCTAATTTCCACAGGGTATATTTCTTAATTGCTGCAGGCTACAGTTAATTTTTTTACAAGCCTTTTTTAAAATGGTGACACAGATGATACAGTATGTAAAGCACTACATAAATTGTTGGGGTTACATAAATACCTGTAATAATAATAATCAATAGGTATTGTTTAACCAGTAATTTAGTCACAATGCACATGGTAAAACATAGTTAAAGAAGGACCAATACACCTTGGCCTTCCTTTGCATTCCTCTGTTGATAAAAGTTACTGATGGTATTATGTGTAAATGTAGAAAAAAAAAAAAAATGTTAAAGAACATTTTAGCACCTTGGTTAACCCTTTTTAGTTTTAATTATTACCTTTAACCTTTTTTCTAAGCATTTTTTGCAGATTTTTTTTACTTTTTATACTGTATATAAACTATAAAAATATCACTCTTCTAGAACCCTTGTAACCCTTGCTCAGTGAACCCTTGTAACTCCCCCTTCAGCAATCTTCAAAGATGACCATCACTTAGGGAGGCCCCCATCCTAAAGGCCATTGGGATATGTCCTCGAAATACATGGAAAAAAAGAACAAATGAAGACAGCAACAGAAAAAAGCATCCTAAGACTTAGGGGTCTATTCACAAAGCTGCCGTATGCAGCCAAGTGAATAACCGACCCGAAGTGAAGTGAGCCAAACAATGTTTGGCTATTCACTTCAGGCTTGTACAGCTGATTTCAGCCATATATCGACCGAAATCAGCCGTACATCGGGTGGCTTCGGGTCGGCCAAACACTGGGCGGCATTTGGCTCGGCTATTCTGCTCGGTACCTCTGTGGTACCGAGCAGAATAGAAAAACAGTTAAAAAAGTAGAAAAAACCAAAATAGAAAACGATTGTGACAGCTAGCTCCGCCCAACTGTTTTCTATTGGCCGGGACCAGCTGTCATTAGAATTAGAGCTTGTCAGAGCCGGCAGTGATATGAAAGCCGACTCTGCTAAGCTCTCATCTTAATGACAGAACAGCATCTAAACAGCAGACGCTGTTCTGTCATTAGGATGAGAGCTTAGCAGAGTCGGCTTTCATATCCCCGCCAGCTCTGACAAGCTCTAATTCTAATGACAGCTGGTCCCGGCCAATAGAAAACAGTTGAACAGTATATGTATTTGACTCAGGGCTTAGCGACCGGATGGACTCTGGGATTAGCGACCCGATGGACGCAGGGATTAGCGACCCGATGGATGCAGGGATAAGCGACCCGCTGGACGCAGGGCTGAGTGACCCGCTGGACACAGGGCTGAGGGACCCGCTGGATGCAGGGCTGAGTGACCCTCTGAACGCAGGGCTGAGTGACCCGCTGGATGCAGGGCTGAGTGACCCGCTGGATGCAGGGCTGAGTGGCCCGCTGGATGCAGGGCTGAGTGACCCGCTGGACGCAGGGATTAGTGACGTGATGGATGTAGGGATTAGTGACCCACTGGACTCTGGAGAGTGACCCTACAGAGCCCACCATAGATGCTGCACAGCCCATCTGAGACTGTCTATGGTGGGCTCTGAAGGAGTCTCAGGTGGGCTGGTCAGAGCTGCATCCCCCTCCCTCCCAGCTCCTTCCCTCCCAGCTCCACTTACCTGCACACCGTGCCTCCTCTCCCGCTGGACTGGCCGGAAGTGACGTCACGACTTCAGACGAGCAGCTACGCTGATGGGGCCCCAGCTTGTCTCAAAGACGCTGGAGCAGCAATGCTGGGGCCCTGCGCTGCTAGGGCCAGGCCTCCGCCGGGCCCCTTACATGAGTATCTGCCGTACCCCCCTGATGGTGACCCTGTATATACAGTATATACATACAGTATATTAGTGGTAGTAGTCATGTTCTGGTTCCCATTCCAAAACACTCATCTTCTGCTGTGCATACTAATGACGCCCACTCCTCCACCAATGAGACCTGCAAACTTGGTCTATAGCATATCATATTCAATTTTTGCAGCATAGTCTTCCCTTATGAGCATATACTGTATATCAAGTGCCTGCAACTTATCTTTGCTCAAGGAGCCAATTCAGTGTACCCAGTGTGTTAATGGATGTTAATAGCAAAATTGTTCATGAACTTGTAGCACAGAGGACAATTTTTCTTTGAATGGCAAGAAGAGAATTTGAAACAATGTACACTGCAACTGACTGTTGCCTATTCTCTAGATGTGTCCATAACCTAAATTATATTATTACATTTCTGCACCACTAAATTGAGTATATTGGCAGCATATGTAGGTTAGGTCATTTTATCTGAGTGCAAGCCTGCAGCAATATTTTAGTAGTGTGCTTGTTGGTATTTACTAGAGGAAGGTAGAGGAGAAACTAGCAGCCAAGAAGCTGCCTGCTATCTAGTTTTTCTACAGGGGACGCATATGATTAATTGTAAGGTAAGGAGGTTACTGCACTATGGGTGCTCATTTTTTTTCCCTGTTTTAGAGCAGTGTCATAATGGTTCCCAAAATAGTGTTATTAAAGTGACTCTAAACTTGGGAGTTAAATCTTAAAAATACATTCAAGTACCATAACTTCTAACACTCGGCTGTAGATCCTCAAGTCATCTCTGAATTCATGCTGACACTGTCCTTCCTTCTGGAGGGTGGTTTCCTTTGTTACCTATGGTGCCTGTGTGTGTGTTGTAAAGTAGCCACCGCTCCAAGCTCACTCCTGTGATGGACTGCAATCACATGTTTAGTTTACTAATTTGTCTTGAGATTGTAATCCATTACGGGAGAGAGCTTGGAGTGGTGGCTACTTTACAACACACACAGGGACCATGGGGAACAAAAGTAGCCACCCTCCAGAAGGAAGGACAGTGTCAGCACCAAGTCAGAGATGATTTGAGGATCTACAGGATACACGCAGAAGATACATTTTTGTTAATAGTTAAGGTACTTAAATGCATTTTTAAGGTTTCATTTCTGAGTTTAGTGTCACTTGAAAGATACAACCTTAAATTCTAGACCAGGATGGACTAAAGAAAGAAGTCTGGCAGTCACCATGTAGATCTATATTCAGAGGCTATCCCCTCTGGGGAAAGTCTCAGAGGTCTGCTAGCTCTTGGGCCTGATTTGGGGAGTATTAAGTATTAATCTTCAAAATGTATCCGCAAGAGCACCGAAACAACCCACCCTCACTCTTCTAAATGGGACTATGTAAGTGAAATGTTTAACCTTGTTACCGGACTATAAAACCAAAGAGTAGACTTGTTCCTGGTTGTTGTTCAGATGGAAGAAATGTTTTTATAACCAATGTGTGTACTGTTGAATCAGCAACAAGCAAAATCTGTTAACGCTAAGAAAAAGCCTTTGTGCTATGTGTTCTAAGTTCTATGCATGTGATGTAGGTTAATTTGCTGCAGGCAGTTGGTCTAGTGGAAGAAGACTTAAAATATGTGGGGCTGACAGAACAGTGAATGGTGTAATGCACAACAAATACCTTAAGAATAAAAGTGAGCAGCTGGTTCTGGGTAGTTTAAGAGCAAAGGGTTGATCTGTGGAGGTGGCTGGTGGCATTCATTGAGCTCACCTCCTGTAACTTAGAGTACCTATGTCTCATGGGACTCTGGAGTGGTGATAACTTGCGCTGCTTGAACCTGGAACCATGTGCAACTAAGACCTTAAAGATTGTGTTACGGTACTTCTGCCAAGGCCTAGGGCCTGCCAGGGGAAGTACATGTGAGCCAGTCACCAGGAAGCACTCTTTGGTGTAAAACTTCAAGGTCATTCTTTAAACTGTAGTGTAGTCAGGGTACCCTCCTGCCAGTTGCACACATAAATCTCTGTCTCCTGTTAACATACTCCATCACTTGTTGCCTGGAAATAGTATAGAGCAGGACGAGTCAGAGTATGGTATTGGAGTAAGTGAGAATGGGCTTAGGGGAAGTGGGCAACCACCCCGTCTACTTTAAAATATATTGCCCAGGTTGCTGCATTTTTTTCTATGCTCATTAAATCCATTTTTTCGAGTTCACCCTCCATTTATTTACTTATTTTCAGTCCTTAGATAGATAAAGCATTGTGTACATGTATGGCATAAGGATGGCTGTAGGTTAATGATTTCTCCTGGGTGGAGACACTCCATTATGATGTACCTTGTATGAGTTAAATAGTTTGATGCCAGAAGTGGAGTTATCCAGATACCTTGAGAATGCATGTTTGTTCCAAGAAATGGTTGTTGGCTAGATGTATTTAAAATTGTTATTAACCTTTGCTTATGTGACACCATAAACAGAAATGTATGCTGTGAGTGCTACCGGTGTCTATCCCTGAATTGTATACATGGTCAAGCTTGTGGTTATTATATTATTGTATAAGCCTTGTAAAATTGACTTTTGTTATTCATGCTGTATGTGTTGAGTTGGTGGGGGAGCAGGGCGCTACAAAGAAGTTGGCCAAGGGAAGATAAAAGTATGGATCTAGCCCTGACACTACTGCTTTGTGTGGTGCTGATATGCAACCGCCAGCGGTCCTAGCAATCAATGACTAAAGCGGGGGGTGGGGGGGTAGGGCCTGTGCTGTGTTAAGGGTGCCAGGGGATGCAGTGGCCTCGGGGCCCAGTGTGTTCACTGTCAGGCAGCTATAACCCAGTGCAGGTTGGCAATCGTGGTCCGGGCAGTACCGCCACTCAGTCTGTGTCGGGACTGCGGTCTGCCAAGGGATCCCTGTTTAGAGAACAATATTTTTGGTATGGAAAATCAATATTGAAAAGTATGTAGGGAAATGTGAAAAAATAAATGTTAAAGAAGTCAGTTGAACATCATGTGAATAGAATTATGTTTAAACCCTATCAGTGACGCTTCATTACTTTGCATTGCAGAAATATGCAACGCTTAATCCCTTTGGGCATTTTTTTGTATTTCCCATTACAGCCTCAGTGACTCTTATGCTGCTGGTTGAAGTATGTGTGTATACCGTGTGTAGCAAAGAGAATTGTGCAAATCATCAATTTTGATGATTGGTTTGCATGATACAACAATCTTTAGGTCAACCAGTATGTCTGTATTCAATAAATTCCTTTGTGCACTCCAAGGGGACTTTTGATGATAAAATATTTAATCTGTGTATGTCTAATTTGTAGTGAACCTTTGTTTTTTCTAAAGGCTAATTTTTAGTACCATTTACATAAAAACGCTTTAATGATTTGTTCACCTGGGAAATTTGTCAGCTCTTTCCTTTCCCTCTGTCTCATTTGGCAACCTTTGTCCAGCTGTTATTTTATTGAATTTACCATATTTATAAGGAGGCATATGTTGTACAAGGATTCTGTAAACAATAAGTTCTTATGGTCAGTACAGCACTATAAGTGAGGCAAATGTAATTATTTGTAATATAGCCCCTCTCTCTACCTCTAAGTTCCTGAAAATACAGAACTTTAATTCAAAATGTTTAAAAACCAGTTCAACTTTTTGTAACATGCCAGTGAGCTAGTTTATCTTTTATAAATGTGACAGAAAGGTTGGCATACAGGCCCACAAAATTGTGTATAAGGAAATGGTATAGGGTGTATCTATAGCCGTAGCAGTCCAAGCAGCTGCTATGGGGACCAAATGATTAGAAAAAGATAAAACTTGATTACTTTTATTAGTTCGCCCCTTCCAATGAAAGCTGAGTCTCCGAGTAGTCAGCACTTGAGGACTGTGGAATTATCATTTTGAATGCCTGGCTGTTGCATGGTATTGTTCATTTACCGTACTCACTCTCACTGTTACAGGTTGGGAGGGACAAGACCTATAAGTGTTACTGGACTGCAGCAGAACAAAACCACTATGGCATTTCTGTGATCTTTTTTTATCTGGAGTGTGTTCTGTATACATTTCTGTGGAGAATCCTTAAGAAGCCAATGACATTGAACCATAGTGGATTCTAATTAAATGTCAAAAAAGCTACAGCTCGCGGTATACTGAGACGCCTCAGTATACCGCGAGCTACAGCTCGCGGTATACTTAGACGCCGCAGCTGAAGCGGATCCCGACAATTATGTCTGGATCCGCCCAGCTGCGTGAGTGACAGCTGGCTCTCCCTTTTTAGAGGCAGAGCCAGCTGTACCCGCCGCCTCCCCCGTCCGTTCCGCCAGTCAGCGCTGGAGGATCGGAGCGGGGAGGGGGGAATCCAGCCACTCTCCTGTCACGGCAGAGAGCCGTGACAGGATCGAGAAGAGAGCGAACGCCAGTATGTGTTCGCTCACTTCCGGATCTACTGAGCCGACCTGTGACAATGTCATTGTCACAGGTCGGCTAGAACTATGAGGATGAGTCAAAAGCACTCACCTCATAGTTCTCCCTTAAGTGTTTTATTGATGGACAGCCTATTTCAAAGTGTTTTCTTTATGTAGTTACACTGTACGAATTCTGTGGTTACACTGCATGAATTATAACAATTTAGTGTGTTCATGCCATTGGTATATTGAACATAACATTCTATATCATAATATTTTTTTTTAGATGGACACCCATGAAGGCAACCATACCAATACGAGCCATCCTTGCGCTCCAGAAGATGATTTCAAGCATCTGGTGTACACCACCATTTATATAATTGTCTTTTTCGTTGGACTGCTGTTTAATGGGGCAGCTATATACATCTTTTACAAGATAAAGAAAAAGAAAGGCACCTCTACTATTTGTTTACTAAATCTCGCCGCAGCAGACTTAATCTTCATAGTTTTCCTGCCTCTTAAAATAACCTACTATCTTAAAGGAGCAGTGTGGATATTTGGGGACTTCCTGTGCCGGGTTGCATCATTTTCTTTCTATTTCAGCATGTACTCCAGCATCTTCTTTTTGGCCTGCCTGAGTGTGTTTCGATACATTTCAGTAGCATATCCTGGAATAGTTAATAAGAAAAAAATAACCATCACCTGTGCTTGTGTATGGGTATTTACTTTTGCTAGCACTTCTCCCTTCCTGCTTTCTGGTACAGTTGACCGGGGTGGTGTAACCAGGTGCTTTGAGCCCACTCATCTGCAGATATGGAAAAGAATAATGTACTTGAACTATTATGCTCTAATTGTTGGATTTATTCTTCCCATGCTGATAATTGTAGTTAGCAATGTGTTACTCATCAGACACATCATGCATATGCCTATGGAGAAAAGAAGCATTAGAAAACAGGTCATTATGATTGTCCTAGTTCTACTTGTTTGCTGTGTCTGCTTTCTCCCATACCATGTTCAGAGGACTGTCCACCTCTATTATTTGGTCCACTACCCAAACATATGCAGCTTACAGAAGGTCCTCCAGAAGGCTGTTGTGGCAACATTAAGTTTAGCTGTTCTGAACACCTGCCTAGATCCTCTGTTGTATGTTTTTATAGGACAGGGTTACAAACAATGGCTACTCATGCTCTGTAGGACCAAGACATCTCAGAATGTGAAACCATTTTCAACAGATTCTAGCGACGTTAGTCAAGAAAATGCAGATGAAGTTCCAATGAATGAATATCTGCAAGTTTCCAAGAATGAAGTTAACAATGTTATCTAACAGTACCACCACAACAGTGTTTGAGTGTGTCACCTATGCAATAAAATGACCCATAGGCTAAACTGGTTGTCACTACAAATTCATGACCTCAAAGTCTAACCTTCCTAAAAGTTTCAGAGTTGCAGCCCCTTTAGACAGAGATGTCCAGTGTTAAGTATGGGTGTTGTTCTGAAAATGTCCTAAAGTCCTTAGAATTAAGTCCATGCATTCAGTAAATACTTTCTTTTAGAAATCAGTCTTCTACATAAATCCTAATCTCTCCCATTAGAGGAAAAGGTGCATAGAAAAATAGTATAATAAGTGGCAAAAGTCCAACATTTTAAAAAACAATGACCTACTCTATTCCTCTATCCCGTTTAAATGATCTATACAGTGTACTAAGAAATTTAACCATTGAGGATTGTGTTTATAGTTCTACCAAAGCAACAAGCCCAGTGTAAACATTTCTTAGTAGATGCAATGGATTCTTCAAGCATAAGGACAAGGTGGTGGGAAATTACTTGGCTGTCCTTCCTTGCAATATTGAATTTAGCAGAAAGGTAGATCTGTTAACTTTTTGGGTACAGCAGTAGTAACAGAAAAAAGTGGAAGGACAATAAAATTTGGCCATAATAATGTATTTCTTGTTTATAATTATTGGAAGTCTCACTAAAACTATCTCTAGAGTCCTCATATGCAATTCAATTGTGTTCTTACAGCAGACGGATAATCTTAAATACAAGAATACCTCCTTTGGACACAAGGCAATCTGTCTTTTTTCCAAGGCTGGAAGACTGAATCAATATAAAAGTGCCCCAAAATGTAATATGTAATATGCAGAAGAGTTATCTGATTGGATGTGCAGACAGAATGTCCTTGGTATTACATACATTTTTATGACAGTGCCCAATAGTAAAATCAATAAATGGCCCCCTTTTGGTGCAACATACTTTTTAGAGGCAGTTCCTCTCGATGAGAAAGGGTTAAAAGAGCTACACTTCATATACTGTAGCTTTTTGTCCACTCAGATTGTCCATCTACTTACTGTTTGGTTACACAGATTTTCTCAAAAAGCTCTGAGATGGAGATGACTAGGAAATCTTTGTGTAGTATGTTTACTTTAAAAGACCAGGAGAGTGAAGTGCATCCGAGAACAAATGGTGAGCTGAGAAGACGGATATCTAAGCTTCAAACACCAGTAGGTGAGCTTGACTGTGGGGATTGGTGGAGGATAGAAAATATGGACAATAAAGGCTCTTTTGTACTCCTTTTGCATTACTGGACAGTTGAATTTTGCTTCTAGGTGAGTGCAGAATGATTCAGATATACAAACTGAGACTGTGTTGTTACAACATACATATCTTTACATTTAACCTGTTGCCTAACATTAACCCTTGCCGCTTAGCCTGTTTAAATCCCTAGCCCTTAACTTGCCTCAAACCTGAGCAATTCAAACTGATGATACGGCTTTTGATACGGTACCACACAAACGCTTGCTACACAAGCTGAGGGCTATGGGCATAGATGAGGTGGTGTGTATGTGGATAGAGAACTGGACTATGATATAATGAAACAATTCAAACTGATGATGTAATGCAGAAATGCATAAACGTAACACTGAAAAACATATGTCAACATCCAGACATATAGGCAATTGAAATAACATGCAAATCTCACTTTTCCTGTAAAAGCTGATAATAACCTTAGCAGGTGTCTCTTCCTAAACCTCTTTATTGGTCCATTAATGTGATGGGTGGTCTGGCCAGGGAGGGAAATGGAGAGAAAGTGGCAAGTACAACTTTTTCAGGAAAAGTTGAGGTATGCCTATAATTTTATCTGCCATTTTCTCTGGATCTTCTTTTTCATTCTGGCATGTGGTTTTGACATGTTGTTTGCACTGAAGTTAACCTCACTAATGCATATTTTTTTTATTAAGAGGGTTATTCACAAAACGGTGAAGAGTTTGGAGAAGGCAGGAGAAGTGAACAATCTAGGCCAAAATAGCTGATTTGGAAAAATTCTGCAATTCAGCTCACTTTCCAGTTTAGCTATGTCGTCCTAGATTGTTCACTTCTCCTGTCACATGATACACCAGGGTTCTTCTTCTTCCATTGCTCTGTGGTCTGGGCAGTCCTTACTGATGCAGAGAGTGACACTAATGCCATCAGTGCCATTCTCTGCAGCAGTACACTGTAAATGAAGGGTACCATGGTGTTCAGTCTTTGGAGTTGAGCAACACTGAGGGTTATTCAACCCAGGAGACTGAGGATATGCTGCAGCGAATCCCCCCATCCTCTTGCTAAAAATTGTTAGACCTTTGTTACAATTTTATTAAATACATTAAAGATTAACTGTACAGGGTTATAGAGTATATGATGAATTCTGAGTTGCAGTAGAGATGGTTAAGGGTTGAAGTGATATTAAACCTTCAGGTTTTTTTTTTACTTTTTCTAATTATGGGGTCCAGACTTAATGTGTGCATCCATAGACACACACAGTGTGTGGCTGCTGTGGCGTTACCAGAGTTATGGGCGCCCGGGGCAGAAATGTTTTTTTCGCCCCCCCATTATATAAACATCCACTGGAACTGTACCCCCCACCCCCACAAATCACTTAGGGAACTACAAGTCCAAGCATGCCATCATTGTCCCTGTACAACCCAACATCCCCC